TAAAAATAAACAAAAAAGGGTCTTTGTTTGTTTGTTTGTTTGTTTGTTTGTTTGTTTTTTTAAAGAAAGGTTTAATGGAGGAAGGAAGATACACCCTGAATAGGGACAATACCACCCCCTGGGCTGGGACTGAAGAGAAGGAGGAGGTCCACTGAGGACAGTATTCCTTTCTCTGTTTCCTAACTGTGAATGAAATGTGGCATGCCAGCCCACAGCTAGAGCACTCTCACTGCCATACCTGTTCTGCCGTGATATTCTGTACCCTCAAACTGGGAGCCCAAATAAACTCTTTGTTCCTTAAATTGCTTTCGTCAGGTATTTGTCAGAGCAATGAAAAAAGTAACTAATATATCCTTCTTCTGACTCAAGTTTCATTTTCTAAATAAATTCCTCAAGTATAAATACTTCCTTAACTCCACAATTTCCCATATTTACCCAACTTGTAAGCAGCAAAAAGCTCATTCTTTTCTGTTTTGCTTATCATTTAAAAACAACAACATGCTCATCACAGAAACTTAGAGAGTCATGGAATATCACAGAGAGAAGTAAATTCATAATTCATAATTCTACCAATAAAAGTTAAGTATTAATATTCTGATCATACTTAACAAATTCAGGATTTGCAACATACCATATGGTATATATGGCTACTACTGTGTCACACATACTGTTAATGTTCAACACTACTAAAAACTCTTAAATCAAGATTTTAATAGTTATAATAACATACTCCAAAATACTATAATTTATTTAACCAACAGTTTAGTTCAATTTTTTAAGCAAGGAAAGCATAAAACTTCTTATTTCTTGGCACCACATTAAAGCACAGTAAATATGAGTAAATAAAAGCAAAAAAAAAAAACCATATTCCACAAATTGAGAGGCCATAATTATTTCATCCCTTTTAGATGTAATACAACCTCCCACCTGGATTTGCTATTTCATTTAAACATTACTCAGATATCACCATTTTTTTGTATGTGTGTGGCTACCATTTCTAAGGAGTTTCCTATATTCTGGGTAAGCTGAACTTTATATAAATTTATGTAATATCTTAAACAAGTGATTACACAAAACAAAAAGAACTTAAGTATATTAACAAACTAGCAATCCTAGATTCATATACTTCAATATTAGAAACATATGAATTTTAATTTACCTTGAACAAATTTGACACAGTGATTGAAGAGAAACACTGGGCATATAGGTTAAGGCAGCATTGTAACACAACAAAAGGAATGTCAACACTTCAAACCTGAAGACAAACCAAAGGAATGTTAACAGATATTATGCAACAGAATCAGACTCAGACATTACAAACAGAGTAATAAAAACTAAAAAAAAAAAAAAGAGTCTTTGCAAGTAATTATCATACAGCTTAAAACTTCAGTCTTCAGATGACACCTGAAGAGGGTACAATGACAGATCTAGATGCGCTTGTCTCTTCTATAAAATGATTTGACATTAAAACAGTTGTTACAAACAACTCATTAAGCACTATAAATCTATTAAAATAATTTTTTAAAAAACTCAGTGTAGCAGGGAGAGTTGGGTCTGCACAGTATACCTGTTCTGTGCTGTCAGCATCTCCCTTTGAGGATGGGGTCCACTGTACATGACTTTTGATAAACCATGCTGGGATAGTGCACTCTCAGTCAGAGCCATGGACCCAATGCTGGAAGGCTAAAGAAAAAAAATGTCTGATTAAAGACAAAAGCAGCTGTTCTGCTGAAAATGTACTATTTAGAAAGCACAAGTCTCCAAGAATGGCTACTTGGACAATCATGCAGCTTAAGAATGTTTTGACAGCCTATCGCATTTCAAAATGCAACAAAATCTTAAAGATTTTATTGGAGAAAACTCCAAGACTTAATAAAAATTAGAAACAAAACCACAAATGAGAAATAAGAAGCTTAATTTCCAAAATTCTCCCATGGAAATAGACAATCTTCTTGCCACCCCACCCCAGCCCCATCACTCCACCCCCAGCCCCACACACACAAATTAAGATTAGCCATTTCCATTCGAAAAAGAAAAAAAACACCTTCAAGAGAGCTTTTACTACCATTGGGTCTTAATTCACAGATTGATAATTAGACATTTTTGAGAACAGTAAATACTCTATGTGGTGCTAATTAGTGCCTTTTGAGGTACTAATAAATTCATCAACATTTTTCCACAGGTATCTAAACCCTAATTTATGGAAGTATCAGAGTATAGAACCCAGTAAACAAGCTTTGATAAGAGTCACTTACTTCATGATATACAGATGGTTTAGATAAAGATGGAATCGTAAAACTCAATACTTTGCTATGTCCCTGTCTGTCAACTATTTCCTACAAAAGCAAAAGAAAATATCTTGAACTAGTCATTTTTTTCCACACATAACTTTTTAAATTTATTACATCATTTTTTAAAAGACCAGAGTAAAACGAATTTTTTTATTTATTATTTTTATTTCATGTGTATGAGTATATTGCCTGCATGTATGTGAGTGCACCTATGTCGTGCAGTGCCGTGGAGGTCAGAAGAGGGCTTTGGATTCCCCTGGAAACAGAGTCAAGGACAGTTCATAGCCGCCATGTGGTGCTGGGAATTGAACCCAGGTCTTCTGTAAGAACAGTCAGTGCTCTTGACCACTGAGCCATCTCTCCAGCCTTTACTGTTTCATTTTCAAAATAAAAGTAGGAAAGAGGGTATATAGCTCAGTGATCTAGCACTTGCCTCAACCCTGAGGCCTAGGATTCTATCTCAGCACAGAAAAAACTCACACATTAAATTAAAGGTACCGTTATTTTCAGGATGGCTAATATATATATAAAGTTACATTTTCTAAATCAATTAATGGTTTGACAAGGAGTTAATGAAATATGTCTAGAAAAGCACCTTAACTTTCTTAAGTATAAACCTTAAGTTATCTACAACATCATCTTCTAACCAATACACAAACTATTAGTAACACAAACTCTTAGTTAAATCAATGGCATAAGTTCTGGAGACAATCCAGATTTATGGAACTATGACTAGTGAATATCACACTAGGTCTTTTCTCTGAAATTTCCTTGAGGTCAGAAACAGATAACAAATTTAAATGGCTATTAAATTTAAAACAACCTTAAGGCAACACTGATAGCCAAGCACGGTGACATGGAAATACTGGTAATCCCAGTACTCAGGAGGCAAGAGCAGGCTGATCTCTGAGTTTAAGGCCAGCCTGATCTACATAGTTCAGTTCCAGGCCAGTCAGGGCTACATAGTGATAGTCTGTCTTAAAAAACAAAACTCTCACACACAAAAAAAATCAAAAACAAAAATAAGACACACACACAAAACCACTGACATTTTTGAGATACTGCTATAAAAGAATTCAGATGGTCTGAGTTTCAGATTCCATTCAACATATTAAAGTATATTCATGTAATTGTACATAGGTCCCAATACCCATAAGATTATTTTTCCATTTTTTGTTTAAAAAATAAGTATTAACTCTACTAAAGTGAAAAAAGTTTTGCCAAAAACCATTCTGTTAGCCCGTTAAATACGAACCAAGTTGTAAACCCCTAAAAGAAGAGCTTCAATGCAGCCACTGCTATGCACGTTTCTGCTGGTGGAGATGGCAAGGTAGCACCAGATCAGTTCTGGAAGGAACTGCAGAGTAAACCGCAGCAGCTGCTCCTCTCCACTGCGATAGAACTCGAAGAGCTGGTGACAGACAGGCTCTAGCAACTGGAAAAAATGACAAATCAACTCAAGAACTGGACTGTATGTGAATGACATTATTCTATGAATTATAAAAGGTTTTCTTAGAATGACTAACTCCTGAAAAATATAAATTTTCTAATTTTCCTGAAGCAAGACTATGTATTGTCAAGCTATTTCACAAAGCTTTTTAAATTCTAAAGGAGGAACAAACAGTAAACTAGCTCTCAAGAAATATTGTTATTAAAGTCATGTTTCTCTATCTTGACTGCTATAGGAAGTTTTGTCCTAATGTCCTTTCTTCCTCATAAGTGGAAGCTAATATATAAATGATTGTCCACAGGGTAGAAGAAACTGAAATGGAAGTCCTAGATCATTGCTCCCTCCAGCTTGAGCAGTGGCTGGTGTGTAGGGTGGTCACAGAGCCACTATACCTAAATCCCCATTGAAATGTTTCTGTAATTTGGTTTTAAACATAACTTAAAGTCATCCATAAGCTTTTCCTCTCCCATCATATCTCCAATTTCATTAAGTTAATAGAGTTGACTATATCTTGATTATTGACTCTTAAAGATTAGAAAAGCAAGATAAGAGAGTCTCATAGGTGGTGTTTTAAATCCTATATAGTGATCAAACACAATCATATTCAAATCTGTTACAAGATTCACAGGTACTGACTTCCAAGGGAACTTTAAAAGGCTATTATACTTTCAGTAAAATCTAGTTCATTACCAGACAACAGATTCAAATCAATCTACCAGGCAGATTTTTTATTACTAATAATTACAATGAAGACAAACCAATGAATAGCATATATTTTGATTCAAATAGACTATGTAAACTGAGTACTAAGTCAACATTATTTATACAAGAGTTAATAAAAATTACAGGTCAATAAACATTGACTAAAATCAAACTAGTGTCTCCTACTGAGAAAAGTACTCTTTCATAAGGAATATTTTTTCATATGTTAAGATGGTGTTTAGAAGGCAAAGGTACCCAGCATGGCTATGGAAAGATAACAGGCACTAGAGATAGCAGGCAACATAATTCCATTCA